AAAAAAAAAAAAAAAAAACATTCTTCTGATAAACCAGAAAAAAAAAAAGACATTCTTCTGACAAACCAGAAGAAAGAAAACCACCATAATTTCTGTCTTTACAATCCTAAATTGCATCCGGTTCTCTTCCCCGGAGCTTATAGACCTCCTTTATTTTTTCTTTTTTTCTTTTGAGGGTGGTGAAAATTTTGGATCAAATTGTCCCCGCACCCATATATAATGTGTCAAAAAAGCAATTTAGCCCAAAATTATTTACAGAATCTTACATCCCATCCCGTTTCATCATGCTCGTCACAAAGTGCATTAAGATCGGGATAGACATTCTTCAAACCAAAGTCAGGGGCAGCTGACCAATTAGAACTGTAAGCAAATCTACATCATAGGATGGTCAGATAACTGAATGCAGGGAAAAAGAAAATGTGCTACGTAGTCAGAAATACTACGACTGCAGCCTGACTTAAGATCCGAATTCCACCCAAAAAACTATTAACATTATCAAAGTTTAGATGTCTAGCTATACAAAAGGTCAAGTTAAAACATTTGAAAGGCAACATAAAATCAAGATAGGAGAGGACATTTAATTACAAAGAAATCAAAGGAGCCTTAGAAGAGTTTCTTATCGTATGGACATGAGTTACTCTCCTTTTATCTTGCTTTATACATATCAAATTTTAATTCTATGTATATCCACATACTAATAATTGTAGCCGAAGCATAGTTCACAAGTTACCTAAATGCATGTTCAATATCCTTGTTATCAAGAGCCATCTTCCAAGCCTTATAAAAAGCATCGGCAGCATTTCCAAAATCCTGAGATTATTTAAAATGAAACTCAGATCATAGACCAGAAATATCAAACTTAAAATGATAAAATCAAAGAGAACCTTCAAAATATTAGCTTACTTTCAACAACATCAGAGCTGCACCCTGCCTATAGTATGCCTTTGGCCACTCAGGCCGTATTAAGCTGCAAAGTTGAGCTATTTCTAATGCAAGGCCTCCTTCATTCAAGCGAGCCCAACACAAGCTTTGGTTGGATGGTACAGCTGCATCTTTTTTGCAATAGGATGCCTGCAATTATCATCAAAACACTAATTAACAAACCAAAATAAAAAACTATCAACATAAATAATGGACAGAATATAACTTGAAAGATATAGTATAAGCCAAAACTTATTTTAGAAGAAAACAAGACCAAGAAATCAAAAAATTATTATTAATTGAATCATTGTTGATAGGACATCTATTTGTTAAACTGAATTTGCAGAAACATAAAATATCAGCACTAAGCCCTTGCCCCTCATGTTACAACTTTATTGCACCAAAATAATCCTCTCGGTTAAAGGCCTCTGTTCCATTTGATTTTGATAGAAAGAAATACTCCTCCAGCTTCTTTTGCCTCTGCAAGATATTTAAAACATATAAATACCAAAGTGTTACAGTAGCCATCACATCTATTATCATCAAGGTGTTAGAAAAAAAAATAAATCTATTACCATCATGGGAAGTACATGTAACAATCAACTGAATTAACTAGAAGTTGCAGTTAAATATCATGTTATAACTCTCCTCCAGGTCTGACTCGCAGAAACTTTTTCACCCTCTGACACAAGTTTCCAATATAGCCTGCCTACTAACCCCAACCAAAAAAAAAAAAAAAGGATGACAGGATGAGGAATCTTGCAATACCTCCTCTTCAGCCTCATCAGAGTGAACATGCTCAGTTAATCCAACCACGCTCCAATCTGGAATAGTAGGAATGGGTTTGGTCACGGGAAATAGAATCATAACAGCCTGAAGATAACCTTTCAAGGCTGCAATTTCAACTGGTGTCATACCTGCCTGTAACACAAAGGTGTTAAATTTTCATAAATCAAAACAGATGAACCAAAAAAAGCTATCAGTGTTGGGCTGCATAAACTCACATTGTTAGTGAAATTGGGATCAGCTTCAGCATTCAATAGCATCTGTCCACCCTTGATAAGCTGCATCCCATAAAGGTGTTATAGCCTTTGTACTACAGAGATTTGGATCAGCTCCTCTCTATAAAAGAAAGCAACAAGGTCACATAACAAAATCATAAACTGCCCATATTTTGCTGAGCAATCCATCAAATAAAGGCTAATACCACATTAAGTAGACCTATTTTCAGGAAACAACAAGCATCAACATATGGATGTTAATCCAGAATTTCCTAAACCTCAACTTTATTATTCCAAAACAAATAACCATTGGCCAAAAAAGTTTTGCGGACTTAATATTACCAACAAGATTCATGTTTCTATAATATGAAATAACTGATAAAGTACTCGTCTGAACTTTAAATACTATAACTTAATTTAATTTTACTGTTTCGCTTTGTGTAGACATATTCTTTGTCAGTGAAGTAGTAGATCACAGACAAAAATTTTTACATCGGTGATATTTTGGTCAATAATTTAAGGTTTTCTAGTAGTGGAGAAATATTATAAAAATGGATGAATATTATCCGCTCAAACGCAGCAGCACATATATTTGGTTTGCTTCTTCAGTTTGTAAGCAGAAAAAATGGATGCATTTTTGGGGTACTTTGCGGCTTTGTTTCTGAGTACTTTTTATGATTGACGCAGATGTTCGCTACTACAATGAATTTGTTGTTAGGAAAACTTCATCCCCTTTTTCTCTCCTTAAGTTGTTCTCCTCCTTCTTCTTCTTCTTCTCTTGAATTATCAGCTAAGGGTGCGGTGTTTTTGTCTTTCCATAGCCCAAATTGACAAATTTTCCTCACAACAGAGTCATAGTAGTGAACATCTGCTTCAGTCACAAGAAGCATTGGTTTCCACTTATGTCAAGGTGCCATTCTCAATCTCTCACTGAATGGATAATCAAAAGTGAAGGTTTTTTGAAAACAAAGGATGCAGCTGTGCTATCCAACCAAAGCTTGTGTTGGGCTCGCTTGAATGAAGGAGGGCTTGCATTAGAAATAGCTCAGCTTTGCAGCTTAATGTGGCCTGAGTGGCCGAAGGCATACTGTAGGCAGGGTGCAGCTCTGATGTTGCTGAAAGTAAGCTAATATCTGGAAGGTTCCCTTTGATTTTATCATTTTAAGTTGATATTTCTAGTCTATGATCTGAGTTTCATTTTAAATAATCTCAGGATTATGGGAAAGCTGTTGATGCTTTTTATAAGGCTTGGAAGATGTCTCTTGATAACAAGGACATTTTGAACATGCTTTTAGGTAACTTGTGAACTATGCTTCGGCTACAATTATTAGTATGTGGAAGTACATAAAACTAAAATTTGATATGTATAAAGCAAAATAAAGGGAGAGTAACTCATGTTGGTTTTCCCTGCATTCAGTTTTCTGACCATTCTATGATGTAGATTGCTTACAGTTCTAATTGTTGTGCTGTTCATGTCAGCTGCTCTAACTTTGGTTTGAAGAATGTCCACCCGATCTCAATGCGCACTTTGTGAAGAGCATGATGAAATGGGATGGGATGTAAGATTCAGAATATAATTTTGGGCTAAATTGCCCTTTTGGCACATAATATATGGGTGCGGGGACAATTTGATCCAAAATTTTTACCCCAAAAAAAAAAAAATGGTCCATAAACCCTGGAAGAAGAGAACCGGATGCAATTTAGGATCGTAAAAACAGAAATTTCGGTGGTTTATTGGAAGAATTTTTTTTTTTTCTGGTTTATTGGAAGTTAGATGCTTAACAAATAACAATATAGAAACTTAAAACTTTGAACCCCTAACATTAATTTCAAATTAAGATTTTTAAATTGGGGGATTATCTAGCTCCTTTTTAAAAAAAAAAAAAAAACTACAAAGTTTTATTAATGAAGTATAGAAGGTATTCCTACCCATCAATACATACTAGATTTAGTGGTTTCCATATACAAAATAACAGGAAACCACATCAAACAGAAGCTTACAATCTTGCAGGACTCAACCCAAAATCCTACCCTTCCCTCCCTTATATTTAATCAATTTTGCATATGCCTTAGGATTTGCTATCCAATCTGATAAAGGGAACAAATTTATTCCTAGTCTTGTTGTTTTCCAGTGATATGCCCTTGCTTGTATTAATCCCAACAGGTTCTCCATATCAACCGTCATGCCCCTAAAGATTCTGTCATTTCTACACAGCCATATTGACCAAATAAAAGCAAACCAAACAATTTCCCATCCTACATTAGTTGATTTTCTTTCAGTAGGCCAGCAGTGTTGCATAAAAGTTTTGCAACATTCCGAGTGTAACACGTATGAAACATCTCACCAGTTAAAGCACTTTAACCAAAGCTTAAAAGATACAGGACAAGTTATCTAGCTAGTTATTTGATTGTTAATCTATCAAAATCTTTAGTTCTGTCATAAAAGTGAACAAAAGTTAACTAAACCAGCATAAAATCTAGATCAAAATTCAAGGGGCAAAAATACAGGTGAAAATAAAGTTCAAGAAGCAAAAAGAGAGTTTAGTAATAGCAAAACGGTTTTCAATGTGGAATAATTGGCTAATAATAATTTGAGACAATATTAAAAGTATGTAGTAGGTTGTATAGTGGTTTACATTGGTCTCAATGAGTAAGAAATAAGTCAATTATTTTACACCAATATTTCACTTACATAGCAAATTATCATTGTCTAATTACATCGCCAACCCAGTACAATAGTTGTATTACAGATTTCTATTTTTTAGACAATGAAAATGTTATAAAGTAGCTTGTGGAGTTCAAGATTAATATTTTTTAGAGGATTTTAATGATTTTCCTCTATATTAAGATAATGTATTAAAGAAAATTGAATTTCCTTTCGTGCTAATTCAAGAGTCAAATCTTAAAAAAAGGCTTATTAGATTAATTTCCTATATTTTGCAAAATTATTAGGAAATCACAATACTCTTGTCATCTTTGCCAACAAAACATTGACATAACATGGATTTTTCATTTTTGTTTGACATGCTGCAGGATTCGTAATGCCAACGTTTGGACTAGCCTAGCTAGTTCCTAGCTTACACCCAAACCGAATCCTCCCTAACACAAACAACAAAATTCTCAAGCGCCTTTCGTTCTCGAATCACTTTTCCCTCTTAATTTTTCTGAATTTTTTCTTTATAAAGTTATTTGTATATTTAGGTGTACTATTTTACAGTCTAAAATGTAAAACCGGACCATTTGATCGGAGAGGAGGCCTCCCATCAAATGGTTAGTGTTTAACTGTCTGAAATGATCCAAACTGTAAAACACTTTTTCATATATATTTTTACACATTAACATTACAACAAAAAAAGAAAGGATAAAAATAACATTTTAACCCTTTATTTTCTTTGATTTTTTTAAGAAAATAATGTTGATTTTTTCAATTTTACTGCATATTCAATATGACAAATTTTATGTCCTATCAACAACAAAACAAATAATACTAATGTGTTTTATTTCCCGATTTTGTTTTCTTCTAAAATGAGTGTTGGACGATACTACATCTTTAAACTTATATCCCGTACATTGTTTGTGTTTGTAGTTTTATATTTTGGTTTGTTGGTTAGTGTTTGGATGATAATTTCAGGCATCATATTGCAAGTATAGAGATGCAGCTGTAGTATCTAACCAAAGCTTGTGTTGGGCCCGCTTGAATGAAGGAGGGCTTGCATTAGAATTGGCTGAACTTTGCTGCTGCATATGGCCTGACTGGCCTAAGGCATGTTATAGGCAGGGTGTGACTCTGATGTTGTTAAAAAGTAAGCTTATATCTAGAGTTGTCTCTTTTACCTTCTTTTTTTTTTTTTTTTTTTTTTTTTGTTTTTCTCATATATACTGTTCTCCTTTTTACTTTATCATCTTATGTTGAGTTGTTGTTGTTGGGGTGCACAAGTGATGTGGATCAATGAGTTAACAGTAGAGATGATGTGGAGACTGACTAGGATGTCACCCGTGAAAGTTGAGAAAGGTCTTTTTGGTAGACACCCGTTTCACGTGCAAGAGGTTATGTACCACGGGCCATGGGCCATCTCATTTTGTCTAGCAATGGCTGTTAGTAATAAATTTTCTAGCAAAGCCTGAAAGTGTAAATTTTCCAACCAAGCTGAGAGAGAGAAAGAGAGAGAGCTGGGCAATGACGACAAAATTCCAAGAGTCGGGAATGATTACACAACTACAAAAAGAATGAAAATGAGGTGTACATTGTGGTGGGAGTAGCAAAGATGAAAAATATATGAAAATCAAATATTACAACTTGAGAGGCACATTTATACATAGAATATTGTAACATAATAGTAAAAACGATGAATGTGCCCTCTATTATCCTTGACAAATATTCCTACTCTATAATGAGCAATCCTCATGTTGTAAGTGAAAAGCATAATAATCCACTTCAAGCTTTTTAAAAAACAAAAGGAATAAACTTGAAAGTAGTGATGGGAGAAGGAAGGATGACCATTGTGCGGGCTTTTGAATGGAAGACCAAATCCCATTCTTGATGCTAACTTTTCAACTTGATCCTCTAATGCTAAAGAAAACAACCCAAGAATTGAAATTGTGGCATGCTATCTCCCAACCATGATGTTCTATAAGTCTAAAAAGTATTTTGCACTGCTAGAAGTGTAGAAAATATAATAAAAATGGTGGTTTCTAGGTATTTTTGGTGTATATGGGGAGAGGTTGAAGATGAAGGATTTTTCAGAGGAAAAATGGAGGTTTGGTGTGTGAGGAAGAAAGTTGGGGCAGTGAAATCTATTCTCTTCTATTGAAAAATGAAATAAAAAATGAATATATGTACAGTGGCACTCTTGCAATTTTGGTTTGATGGGTCAAGGTAGCCTAGCAGCATAATAGGTAGATTTGGGTGAGTTGTTGAGTTTTAAATGGTCTTGGGTACTACTAGCAACCTTTTTGGAAGTGATATTATGAATTACTCACTGGTTCCAATGAAGCACTAGTGGTTCCAACGAAGGATTAGAGACTACCTATTTCTAGTAATTATTCCAGTCATACGAAATTCCATTTTGGGAGGATACTTGAGTACAGCCGGCAAAAGAAGATCTATCGAGGATTTTGATAAATTTCCCAAGCAAAATGTAATCTTTTTCAACAGTTTTCAATGAAATGAAACTTGTGTAGCCACCCTTTTAACAGTTTCCAATGCAATAGAACTTATGCAGCCACCTTTGTATTAAATATAGTTGCAACTTGTTGATGGGGATTGAAATAGCATCTTTGGTTGGTTTTTAACAAGATTTCAAACTTCTAGTTAACATCAAATGGTACAGTTTTGGGGATCAAGCCCAACTCCATGTCTTCGCCACCCCACCCTTTATGGCGAAGTTAGGCAACATCATCGGCTCCAAGCTTGGCTAGTGTGAATACCTTGCTTTGCCAGACGGGCAATGTTCATCCATCCATGCCTACTAAGCCACTATCCCCATAGTTTATCCCAAGTAATTCCTATGAGCTTGGATTAATGGGCTTATGTTTATCTGCAACAAAAGTAAGATATAAATGAGTATTTGTTCATATGTTTAAGTGTAAAATGTATAAATATGTGCAACGAAGAAGGAAACTCCAAGATAAAGAATGAGTAATATGGATGTGTATTGTGATATCACTGTCCCGAGCCAATCATTGGTGATTGGCGATACCTACTAACATATAAAAATAAAAGAAATATGTTGTGAATCGGGATTATTGGTGATTGGTAATTTTGTCCCTTTGTATAAAAGAAGGATGATGCGCATAATCGCAAGCTATGTTGTATAAGTATCGCAAGGTTAGCCATGAATAGCTTTCCCATAGCCAAAGGGATAAAAATGGTTAGCTTTACCCATGACTGGAGCATGAACTATGTGGAATCGAAATAACATTCCCATTAATCCGTCAAGTCGCGAAGGGGTAAATCTCATCAAGCCAAACTCCACCATAGCAATGAATATGTGATAAAGATAGGTGGAGTTGTCTCCATGGAATAGGGATGCCAACCGCATCCATGGCCTTTGATACAATAAGATGTGATACCACTAACAAATGCTAGCCCTTCTTACTGTATTTGCATTGTCAAAGGGTGGTCCTAGTTGTTGTTACCCGCCGAGCACCACACCACCATGCACAAAGCTTTGCCCATGGCTGAAGCGTGAATTATGTGGAATCGAAAGAGTACTCCCATTAATCCATCAAGTCGCGAAAGGGTAAATCTCATCAAGCTAGACTCCGCCATAGCGATGAATATGTGATAAAGATAGGTGGAGTTGTCTCCATAGAATGGGGATGCCAGCCACATCCATGGCCCTTGATATGATAAGGTGTGATATCACAAACAAATGTTGGCCTTTCTTGCTATATCCGCATCCTTAGAGGGTGGTCTTGGTTGTTGTTACTCATTGGGCATTGCACCACCATGCACGAGCGACCACCAAGGAATTGTCTACCATTACTTGATGGATTTTTATTGTAGCCATCCCATCCAATCGCAAGGTTGCAACTGTTACCAACCTCACGCTAATCGTACTGAGTTGCGCTAACTCTTTGTCCATTTT